CCAGTGGGAGAACAACGGGAGGCTCTACAGTTTGCTCAACACCGGCGCCGAGTACGTCCCGGCGGGGCAAGAGAGACCGGGAGGCAACCGGTTGCTTTTGGCGGGAGCGGTGACGGCGGGAGGGGGAACGGGGAGCGTCCGGCGACAGGCACCCACCCCCCACCTTCAACCCCAACCCCAACCCCCGCCCAGGCCCGGTTCGGAAACGGTGCGGGGTCAAACTCGTCATCCCTTCGGTTTCGGGCAGGTGCCCGAAAATTGGCGCGAAGGCCCGGTGGGCGACACGACGGCATCCCAACGCCTCCGGCCCGCCGCCCGCTCCCGCCAACCTTCCTCCTCCTCTTCCTCCTCCTCATCCTCATCCTTCGCCTACGCCTCCGCCTACCCCCAATTCCCTTTCGCCCCCCAATACGAGCCCTACGAAGCCCCCCGGGCCTACGACGAAGCCTTCACCTATTACCGTAGCACCGGGGGGGCGGCGGTGGCTTCGGCGGCGGCGGGTGCCAGCGTGGTGTACCCCTTCCAACCCCGGGCGCGCTACGAGGACTACGGGGAGGAGCAGAGCCCCTACAGAGCCCAGGGTTACTACCCCCCGGCCGAACGCCCCTACGTGCCCCCAGCCCCACAACCCGTCGACGGGCTGGACCGCCGGTACTCCCATAGCTTGTACCACGACGCCGGGGGTTCACTGGAACAAGGTGGCCAGGACTCCTACCCCAACCAGCAACCCCCAGGTCGTGGGGTGGCATCGACGGACAACCTGCAAGCTCCTGGTGGGACGGGGTACGGGGGGGCTCAGTACCCACCCTACGAGCCGCAGCCACCGTTCCGGGCGCTTGAACCCTACGGGGTTCCTCGCCCCGAGTCCTACCTGCCCGCCAGGAACCCCGAGATGCCACAGGCCGTCCCCGATAACCAAGCCCGGGTCAGCGTTGGAAGTGTCTACAGGCCCAGCCACGGAGGACGGGGTGAGTCTTGGGGTGGGCCCTGGGGTGGGTGGCAGTTGGGATGGTGTCCCCCCAGGGCTTCCTCACCCATCACCCAGGGAGAAGGCATCCTCGAGGTGCCCACATCCTCTCCGAGGATGCTCTGGGGACAAATGTGGCCAAGGGGGTCACCCAGGGGCTGGGGCTGTTGGAGACCCTGTATGTTTTTTGGGAATGATGGTTGAGGTGCTGAAAAATAGGGAGGAAAGGGAAGGGGTGCCCAGGGGCACGTCCCAGCAGGATCTGGGCTTGAGGAGCATCTGGGCCGTGTCCCAGGCCATGCTGTGCTGTGGCAGGGGTCTCTGCCATGTCCCAGGTCATCTGGCATTTGTGGGGTGCGTCTACCGTGTCCCAGGTCATCCCATGCTTGTGAGGTGGTCATCTGCAGGTCATCTGCAATTTGTGGGGTGCATCTGCCATGTCCCAGGTCATCCCATGCTTGTGAGGTGGGTCAGGTACTTCATCCCAGGTCATCCTGTGCTTTTGGGGTGGGTCTAGCAGCACATCCCAGGTCATCCCACCTTCATGGGGTGGGTCTGTGCTGTATGGTGGGGGCACACTCTGCTCAAGGTGGGTTATGCCCTGTGTTCCAGGTCATCCCACATTGGTGGGATGGATCTGCACCCTGTCCAAGGGCCGTCCTACCTGCGTGGGGTGGTTGTGTGCCGTGTCCCAAGCTGTCCTGCCCACGTGGGGTGGCTGTGTGCCATGTCCCAGGCCATTCTGCCTGCGTGGGGTGGTTGTGTGCCGTGTCCCAAGCTGTCCTGCCCATGTGGGATGGTTGTGTGCCATGTCCCACACCATTCTTCCTGCATGAGGTGGCTGTGTGCCATGTCCCAGGCCATTCTGCCTGCGTGGGGTGGCTGTGTGTCATGTCCCAAGGACATCCTGCCCATGTAGGGTGGCTGTGTGCCGTCCCAGGTTGTCCTGCCTGTGTGGGATGGTTGTGTGCCACATCCCAGGGCCATTCTGCCCACGTGGGGTGGCTGTGTGCCGTCCCAGCTTGTCCTGCCCGCGTGGGGTGGCTGTATGCCATGTCCCAAGCTGTCCTGCCCATGTGGGATGGTTGTGTGCCATGTCCCACATCATTCTTCCCCCGTGGGGTGGCTGTGTGCCACATCCCAGGTTGTCCTGCCCACGTGGGGTGGTTGTGTGCCATGTCCTAGGGCCATTCTGCCTGCGTGGGGTGGCTGTGTGCCATGTCCCAGGTTGTCCTGCCCGCTTGGGATGGTTGTGTGCCATGTCCCACACCATCCTGCCCATGTGGGATGGTTGTGTGCCACATCCCACACCATTCTTCCTGCATGAGGTGGCTGTGTGCCATGTCCCAGGTTGTCCTGCCCATGTGGGGTGGTTGTGTGCCATGTCCTAGGGCCATTCTGCCTGCGTGGGGTGGCTGTGTGCCATGTCCCAGGTTGTCCTGCCCGTTTGGGGTGGCTGTGTGCCATGTCCCACACCATTCTGCCCGCGTGGGATGGTTGTGTACCACGTCCCAAGCTGTCCTGCCTGCATGGGGTGGCTGTGTGCCATGTCCCACACCATTCTTCCCGCGTGGGGTGCCTGTGTGCCATGTCCCAGGTTGTCCTGCCTGTGTGGGATGGTTGTGTGCCACATCCCAGGGCCATTCTGCCCACGTGGGGTGGCTGTGTGCCATGTCCCAGGCCATTCTGCCTGCGTGGGGTGGTTGTGTGCCATGTCCCAGGTTGTCCTGCCCGTTTGGGCTGGCTATGTGCTGTGTCCCAGGCCATACTGCCCGCGTGGGGTGGCTGTGTGCCATGTCCCACACCATTCTGCCCGCGTGGGGTGGTTGTGTGCCATATCCCAGGCCATTCTGCCTGCGTGGGGTGGCTGTGTGCCACATCCCACACCATTCTGCCGACGTAGGGTGGCTGTGTGCCACATCCCACACCATTCTGCCGACGTAGGGTGGCTGTGTGCCACATCCCACACCATTCTGCCGACGTAGGGTGGCTGTGTGCCACATCCCACACCATTCTGCCGACGTAGGGTGGCTGTGTGCCACATCCCACACCATTCTGCCGACGTAGGGTGGCTGTGTGCCACATCCCACACCATTCTGCCGACGTAGGGTGGCTGTGTGCCACATCCCACACCATTCTGCCGACGTAGGGTGGCTGTGTGCCACATCCCACACCATTCTGCCGACGTAGGGTGGCTGTGTGCCATGTCCCACACCATCCTGCCCATGTGGGATGGTTGTGTGCCACATCCCACACCATTCTGCCTGCGTGGGGTGGCTGTGTGCCACATCCCAGGTTGTCCTGCCCCCGTAGGGTGGCTGTGTGCCATGTCCCAGGCCATTCTGCCCGCATGGGGCGGTTGTGTGCCACATCCCAGGTTGTCCTGCCCATGTGGGGTGGCTGTGTGCCATGTCCCAGGCCGTTCTGCCTGCGTGGGGTGGCTGTGTGCCATGTCCCACACCATTCTTCCCCCGTGGGGTGGCTGTGTGCCATGTCCCAAGGACATCCTGCCCACGTGGGGTGGCTGTGTGCCATGTCCCACACCATCCTGCCCGCGTGGGGTGGCTGTGTGCCATGTCCCACACCATCCTGCCCGCGTGGGGTGGCTGTGTGCCATGTCCCACACCATCCTGCCCGCGTGGGGTGGCTGTGTGCCATGTCCCACACCATCCTGCCCGCGTGGGGTGGCTGTGTGCCATGTCCCACACCATCCTGCCCGCGTGGGGTGGCTGTGTGCCATGTCCCACACCATCCTGCCCGCGTGGGGTGGCTGTGTGCCATGTCCCAGGTTGTCCTGCCCGTGTGGGGTGGCTGTGTGCCATGGGCTGGGGTCACACCGTGCTCCTGGAGCAGGCCAGTGCTGTGTCCCAGGTCACCCCAGCCATGTGCCCTGTGTGGGGGCAGACTGGATTCACGGGTGGGAGGGGGGATCTGTGCTGCCTCACCTGGGACCAATCCCCCCCACCGGGGCCACAGCAGGGGACCAAGGTGGCAGCAGGGACGCATGTCCCTCCACGTCCTACTGCCCTCGATCCTGATGAAATCCTGTGGTTTTCGGCTGAGGCTTTGCCCAGAATGGGTTTTTTTTTTGGCTCCGTGGTGAAGTTGGAAGCAAGGCTGGAGGGCGTGAGGAGCAGCAGCCTGGGGGATCTGTTCCTTGCCTGTCCCTTGGGAAACCCATCTCAGCTGGAGCCTCTGACCCGTCTGACCCCAGAACCCATCCAGCCCCATCCCTGGTTTTCTGAGAAAAGCCCATCCCAGAGGGTTCGTGCTGGGGGAATGGGTCATCCCGGCCCTGCCCCGTTGCGTGCGAGCGAGTAAACACAGCCAGAGCAGCCGGGCTGGGTCAGGCCGAGGTCTCGCTGACGACGTGTGGGAAAGAGCTTGGGGACACGGCGTTTGTGAGGAGAGGATCTTCCTCCGGATCCCTGCCCGCCTCCCCGGGAGCTGCCGCTCCTGCCGGGAGAGGGATGGAGGGGTGAGGGATGGGGGATGGAAGGGATAGAGGGGTGAGGGATGCAGGGATGGAGGGACAAGGGATGAGGGGCGAGGGATGCAGGGATGAGGGATAGAGGGGTGAGGGATGGAGAGGGTGAGGGATGAGGGATGGAGGGGCAAGGGATGCACGGATGAGGGATAGAGGGGTGAGGGATGCAGGATGCAGGGGTGAGGGATGCAAGGATGGAGGGGAGAGGGATGCAAGGATGGAGGGTTGAGGGACGAGGGATGAGGGGCAAGGGATGCAGGGATGAAGGATGGAGGGGTGAGGGATGGAGGGGCAAGAGATGCAGGGATGAGGGATGGAGAGGTGAGGGATGCAGGATGAAGGATGGAGGGGTGAGGGATGCAGGGATGGAGGGGCAAGGGATGCAGGGATGAGGGATAGAGGGGTGAGGGATGCAGGGATGGAGGGGCAAGGGATGAGGAGCAAAGGATGCAGGGATGAGGGATGGAGGGGTGAGGGATGCAGGGATGGAGGGGAAAGGGATGCAGGGATGGAGGGATGAGGGATGCAGGATGAAGGATGGAGGGGTGAGGGATGCAGGGATGGAGGGGAAAGGGATGCAGGGATGGAGGGATGAGGGATGCAGGATGAAGGATGGAGGGGTGAGGGATGCAGGGATGGAGGGGAAAGGGATGCAGGGATGGAGGGATGAGGGATGCAGGATGAAGGATGGAGGGGTGAGGGATGCAGGGATGGAGGGGAAAGGGATGCAGGGATGGAGGGATGAGGGATGCAGGATGAAGGATGGAGGGGTGAGGGATGCAGGGATGGAGGGGAAAGGGATGCAGGGATGGAGGGATGAGGGATGCAGGATGAAGGATGGAGGGGTGAGGGATGCAGGGATGGAGGGGAAAGGGATGCAGGGATGGAGGGATGAGGGATGCAGGATGAAGGATGGAGGGGTGAGGGATGCAGGGATGGAGGGGAAAGGGATGCAGGGATGGAGGGATGAGGGATGCAGGATGAAGGATGGAGGGGTGAGGGATGCAGGGATGGAGGGGAAAGGGATGCAGGGATGGAGGGATGAGGGATGCAGGATGAAGGATGGAGGGGTGAGGGATGCAGGGATGGAGGGGAAAGGGATGCAGGGATGGAGGGATGAGGGATGCAGGATGAAGGATGGAGGGGTGAGGGATGCAGGGATGGAGGGGAAAGGGATGCAGGGATGGAGGGATGAGGGATGCAGGATGAAGGATGGAGGGGTGAGGGATGCAGGGATGGAGGGGAAAGGGATGCAGGGATGGAGGGATGAGGGATGCAGGATGAAGGATGGAGGGGTGAGGGATGCAGGGATGGAGGGGAAAGGGATGCAGGGATGGAGGGATGAGGGATGCAGGATGAAGGATGGAGGGGTGAGGGATGCAGGGATGGAGGGGAAAGGGATGCAGGGATGGAGGGATGAGGGATGCAGGATGAAGGATGGAGGGGTGAGGGATGGAGGGGCAAGAGATGCAGGGATGAGGGATGGAGAGGTGAGGGATGCAGGATGAAGGATGGAGGGGTGAGGGATGCAGGGATGGAGGGGCGAGGGATGAGAGATGAGGGGCGAGGGATGCAGGGATGAGGGATGGAGGGGTGAGGGATGAGGGATGGAGGGGTGAGGGATGCAGGATGGAGGGATGCAGGGATGGGGGGGTGAGGGATGCAGGATGCAGGATGGAGGGATGCAGGGATGGAGGGACAAGGGATGATGGATGGAGGGGCGAGGGAAGGAAGAGTGAGGGATGAGGGATGAAGGGGTGAGGGATGCAGGGATGGAGGGGCGAGGGATGAGGGGCAAGAGATGCAGGAATGAGGGATGGAGGGGTGAGGGATGCAGGGATGAGGAATGGAGAGGTGAAGGAAGGAAGGGTGAGGGATGAGGGATGGAGGGGTGAGGGATGCAGGGATCCAGGGGTGAGGGATGCAGGATGAAGGATGAAGGGGCGAGGGATGACGGAGGGAGAGGCAAGAGATGCAG